TCGAGGGAGGTTATCCTCCCCCTCTACTCTGCCCTGGTGAGACCCCACCTGGAGTACTGTGTCCAGTTCTGGGCTCCCCAGTTCAAGAAAGATGAGGAACTCCTAGAAAGAGTCCAGGGGAGGGCAACAAAGATGATGAGGGGACTGGAGCACCTCCCCTACGAGGAAAGGCTGAGAGAGTTGGGCTTGTTCAGCCTGAAGAAGAGAAGACTGAGAGGGGACCTTATCAACACCTACAAATATCTTAAGGGCGGAAGTCACGAGGATGGAAGCAGTCTGTTTGCAGTGGTGTCCAGCGACAGGACTAGGGGCAATGCGTGCATACTGAAACATAAGAGGTTTCAGTTGAATAAGAGGAAAAACTTCTTCACTCTAAGGGTGACAGAGCACTGGAACAGGCTGCCCAGGGAGGTTGTGGAGTCTCCTTCTCTGGAGATATTCAAAGCCCGCCTGGACGAAGTCCTGTGTAGAATGCTCTAGGAGAGCCTGCTTTAGCAGGGGGGTTGGACTAGATGATCTCCCGAGGTCCCTTCCAACCCTTGTGATTCTATGATTCTGTGAAAGCAAAAAATACAATGCCTGATCTAATCACATGGTAAACCACAGGAAAATAATCTACCTGTTTGCTAATCTGCTTCCAGTTTCAGCCTACATCACGCATAACGAAGAGCTATTCTGTCTAAAAATATACTGCAAAGAGAAGGCACATTGAGCAAAGCAACATAGAATCAGAAAGCTCCAGAGTTTTTACTACTGTGATGCAGTCACAGAACTTCGAGGATCTTTCTTGAAAGTTCTTTGGCTGGTGTTTCCAAGAGGTCCCAGGGAAACAGACAAATGATTAGTTTTCATTTCAATGAAATTTCATTTCATGCCTAATTCTCTTGAGGAAGGAACAGCATGGAACTGAGACGCAACTGGTGAATGAGGGTCAGAAAAACCCATTTAGATTTGCTTCAAATCTTTAATGTAGAAAAAATAAACTAGTGGGAGTTCATGAAATCAATTGCAGGTAAGGGCAGAGAAGCAAGCTTCAAAAGACATTTTGGCCAGGCAGCATTCAGTGCTGAAGAGTTATCCTTCCATGGTAAGAGATTTATGCAAAAGCAATAGCTAAGCATGGCCATAAACAGGTCTGAAGAACAGGTCAAAAGATGCTTAAGGACCCAGATATAGGAAAAATATGCAGAGAATTACAGATTCCAATATAATGAGAAAAAAAGAACAGACTTGGACATAACACTAGCTATACACTTTCTACTTATGTGGGGCCCAAAACACTAACCTTCATACTTGATATTTAGCATCTTCAGACAATCCATCTTTGGGATGAGAAAGCCATCACTGAGAAGAGCTTCAGCCACTGCCTCCCTAGAGCAATCAGAGAGTCTTATTAACACCACTTACTCCTTTACATATCGAAACACCACTTGCACCAGTTCTGAAACAAGTTTGAGCGCCAAATATTTGGAACTATGAGGAGGTCATGTAGCTTGTTGTAAGGCACTAAGATTGTGTGCCAGTCTTGGGCTTGGTATATCCCACCAGACTTGGAGGGGATGTGCAGTTGTGCAAACTGGAACAGAACCAGAACCTGGAAGGAAACATTTCTGCTCAAGTTGCAGAGGCAAATACCTTGGTATTTCAAAAGCATGGAAACATTTATCATACTCAAATACCTATGGTTTGCAGTATCATCCAAGTCTTCTGCCAGCAGGCCAGCCAAGATTTTAGGATCTCTGACTCACAGAGCTATGTTAAATTTCAGGGGAAAAGCCAATCCTGTTGACTTGTTGTCAAGGCATACCTTAAGGTGCAGTTCACACTACTGTT